AACCAAACTTTTCCCACAGCACATTTTATCCCCCTGAGGAGGGCTCTGATTGTGCGAGAAGGTCCCTGGGGACTGAGTGCCCAGCATGGCATTCTCTTGGTTGCCAGCCGGTCAGGGCAGGCAGCTGTGGATGCCATTTGGCTCCCAGTGTCTCCACCAGTAAGAGTTGGACCAAGAGGTCCTCAAATTCAACTGCGGCTAGCTCTCTACTTCCTAGTGGGACCAGCTGATGGACCCTGGGACCTGCAAACACTCCTCACTGTCATTCTTGTGTAAGGGTCAGGAAGTGTAGCAGTTACAATCTAGGTCATGATGGTAACCAGCAGCCATTAATTTCTGATTTCCCTCGATTGCCGGTGCGCTTTTAAAAAGGCACAAATTCTTCCAGCAAAATTGTCAAGGTCTCATTTGTTTCTTCTCCCCCTTTGTTTTCCTGTTCCTTCTCTCTCCTAGTTATATTTTCTTGCTTTGTCTCTCTCTCTTTCTACTAGTGCTTGCCACAGATATTTATTAGACTGGAATTTGTTTGTTAAACACACCATGGCTTTTTAAATTTTTTTTAACGTATATTTATTTTTGAGACAGAGAGGGACAGAGCATGAGCAGGGGAGGGGCAGAGAGAGAGGGAGACACAGCATCCGAAGCAGGCTCCAGGCTCTGAGCTGTCAGCATAAAGCCCGACACGAGGCTCGGACTCACAAACTGTGAGATCATGACCTGAGCTGAAGTCGGGCACTCAGCCGACTGAGCCACCCAGGCGCCCCTTACGTGCATGGTTTTTGAACCCAGCCAGAAATGATAATTTAATCAGGTAGTCTGAGTAATGGTATGTTGAGCAAGAAGGATGGAAGGATAGAATCAAAATGAAATCTTGCTTTGAATTGTGCTTCCTACTATGTTCTTAGAGCTTACTTGGTAAGGGGAGCCTGTTCTTTGCCCCTGGACGAGGACAAGGGCAGCCTGTGTGCGGGGTTCCCTCCATTGGCCACTCCAGACCCACTCACCAAGCAGACTTGTATGGGCCACATCAATATGCTGTGTGCCCTCTGGATTCTGGTTGCACTTGGGCAATGGAGAGCTCCAGCAGGAAACTGGAGGAAGGGAAGAGAACAAGGTCAGGAATTTAATCTCCTGCCTCTCTCCAGGTCAACTCATATGGCTGCGTCCCTTGATGGAAGGGTGATCCTCCCTACGTGGTCTGCTTTTCACAGCTCTCTTTCCCTTGAGAAAATGCCCTCCCTGCATCCCTGTGGGTCAAGGCTATGGATATGGGTTCCTGGGCCCTTGAGGATCTCTGCTACATGCTGTCTCTACCTTTCTCATTTGACACTTTGTAAAGACAAAGTGTAAAGACACTTTGTAAAGACAAAGTGTAAAGACACTTTGTAAAGACACTTTGTAAAGAAACCCTCCCATATTATTGCAGTTTGAGTGTAACTCTCTTAGGGAGTAAATAATTATGCAGCTACTTCAGTTATAAACGGAATCTGTGACAGAAAATGGTAGTATCCAGTCCAAGATACTAATCTAAACTGTAGTCTTTGCTCGAGGGTAAGAGTTACTATCTTCCTCCCCGAGGTGGGATTTGTTGGCAGACACCTGCCCCTGGTGCGGCTGGTTCTGCGTTCTTTCTCGTCTTACCTGCTCCCTGCTATTTCCATTCCTAGGCTGAAATGGGGGACAGAGGGGGCAAAACAGTTTTCACTTGAATGGGTTCCATCATAACCTGGTTTTGCACCCTCTGGCCTGGCATGGTTAGAAGCAACGCCCCCCTAGCCCCCCAGAAACCCCCTGCACTCCCACCTGCAGCTGCCCACCCACGACCCAGGAAGGTCTCCCCTCGGGCTGGTCCTCCAGGGTCCCTTTCACGCTGGGATGCTCACTGCTGGAGAGTCTTCAACCTTACAGGTTATCTTGGGCAGAATTTAAGACTCTAGGTGGCCTTCCCACCAGCAAAGTCCGTATCTGCTTGACAACCTGTCTGGCTCATCTCTGTTGTGCCACCAAAACAGCTCGACAGCCCGACTCTCCCGCCCGCCACCGGATCCCCAAACACCTGGGAGCCCGCGGGCCCTGCAAATGGTTCCTCAGTGTCTCCTCTCAGCCAGATGGAGGCAACAGGGGCAGATACCCTCCACCTTCTCTAGTGGGGAGAAGTGGAGCTCACAGCCCAGCCCGTCTCCAAAGAAATCCTTCTTATGACGTCATCTTGGTCACTATTTTCTCTAGTCCTTAATCTCGATGAAATGTGGGAAGAGGCGTAAGGGCAGGAGGGAATTAATTTTCCAACATCCACTCTGAAGGATCCTTCCAGGAAGAGAGGCAATTTCTTCTCTCACACCTCTTGGGACGTCATTTTTACTGCATCTTGGAGTCTCAGTCAAAGTCTTCATCTTGACATACTGTGTCAGACTGTGACGTACATTTTGAATTGCTGGATAGAACAAAACAGTTCCAACTGGCTTCTACAATAAGGAGAATTTGTTGGTTCGTGTAACGGAAAGAGTTCGGAGGTTGGGGGCTCAGTTTCTCGTTGATTCTCTCAGTTCCCCCCTTCTCTGTGTTTTCAAGATGACTGCCTGAAGCACTCTGGGTATGTGCTTCTTTGTCCACATCCAGACAACAAGGAGGACATCCCTTCCCTTAACCACTGAACAAGAGTCTTGAGGTTTACTCTGGTCAAAACTTGACAGCTCAGGTTCAGTTGTTAACCTGAGCCAATCCTTTTCACCAGGGGCGCCTAATGTGCTGACTGGCTTAAGTCTTGGGTGGGAGCCATCACTGCACCAAGACCGGAAGAGAGGTGGCTTACCCTCATTGGGTTAAACCTCTGGGGATCCATTCCTGGAACTGGGGGTGACAGTAGGGGACGTGAAACTTGTCCTCAACACCTTATGCAAATCTCCTGGCTGTATAAGTAAGAGGAAGGTTTGGAATGGTTGTTCAGGAAACCTCTGCCCCACCCAGTCCAAGGTCATCTTACTCGAGCATCTGATTTTGTCCCCATGTAAGATATGGTTTTGTGGGAATCTAAATATTTTGTACTCATAATACAGACAATAATTGTGACTACGAGAGGGGTTCATTTTGCATTGGGGCTGACTTCTCCATTAGGCACAGGGCCCAAGGCCCATGATATTTTTACCACCCCATAGAAATGTTTTACTTTCTTTTAAAATCAGAAGAAAAAAAGGAACTTTTAGGTTAAAGAAAATGTTTTAATATACAATATTTATATATTCACCTTAGTAGCAATACAGCTGTAAAATGTAATTTGATTATTATTATTATTATTATTAGGGGATTGGGCCTAAAAGTGCACTGGTGAGAACCTGCTCAGGCAGCCACGCTGTGCATTCCTTCTTTACTGGGCTCTCCCACCATAGAATTTAAGTGTTGCTAATAAGAACCCAAAGCCTGAGGCAAGGGGATCATTCCTTTGAATTCCAAGGTTACTACCCATTTGCTTAAAGAACAGATGTGGGTTGTATCACTGTTGTACCAGATCTATTATTGTGCTTGAAAACAGCAGTCCAGGGAGGTCAGGCTTGCTTGCACAAAAAAAAAAAAAAAAAAAAAAGAAAAGAAAAAGAAAAAAAAATAGGAGGGAGGGCAATTTTCTTCCCATTGGAGGCTAATTAACGTGGCCATGGTACACTAGGGTTAAAGCATTTTCAAGCCTATCATCACTTGATCCCGTTAACAATCCCCAGGGGGTACTGACCCATTTAACCCATGAAGAATCAGACTCAGGGAAGGAAAATTGCCTTTCCATAGTTTGCTACATGGTTACTATTTCATGGAGGGTTAGGTCAGACTGCCATTTCTGACTCCAAAGCTTTTGCTTTTGCTGGTGCCCAGAGGCAACTACATTGGAAGTAAAATTTATGTAAACAGTTTCGCAGACCAAGTGAAGTGGGCAGTGTCTTAGGGTATAGGAGAGTCCCAGGAGCTGATCTAGTCTTTGGTGGGAACCGTTTCTCCTACATGCTGCAAAGTTGTCCATGATGCAGCTGTCCCTTCGCCACCACCCTTTCCTGCCCTGACGTGGTCCTTTCAAGTCTGGCTTTTGGTGAATAGCTGAGGAAGTCTGTCCTTACCATCCATAAGGGATGCCCCCTTCATGCAAGGGGCTAATGGCTGGCTCCCGGAACCAGTCAACAATCACTTCCAAACTTTCCATTAACACTGCTGCTGTTCACACTCGCTTCTCCAGCTTTTTCCTTGCATTGCTAACCTGAGTGATCCAGAGCCCTTTCCAGGGTCTCATTCCAGCAAAAACAGTGCACAAAAGCAACCTGAGAAGGTGGCTTCCCAACAACCCCTCTTTCTCCACTTCGAGGAAACGAGACAGACTAGAGCAGTGGCAATCAAAAGTGGAGCTGGCAATACTGACAGCACGGTCATCGCCTAGGAGCTTGTTACAAAGGCAAATTCTTGGGCCCAACGGACTTTCTGAACTAGATCCTAAACTAGATCCGAGAAGACAGGGCCTGGAAAGTTGTGTTTTAATCAGCTCCCAGGTAACTCTTAGGCACGCTAAAATTTAAGAGGCTGTAGCACGGAGGGTGGCGGAATGAGGCCGTACAAAGCAAGAGTGTGTCCCAACTCTCTCTCTCTCTCTGGTTGGAGTGTGTGGGGAGGCATATTCACTTTAGTAACCACTGTGAAAGTCTCAGTGAAGGGTTGGTAATTTAGTTTGGGACCTGTAAATTTCTCAAAGACACCGCCCCTCCTAGGTAAGGGGCTCAACACCCTTACCCAAGTAGACCAGCCGCCAGATCTCTAGCAGCCTCAATTTCCTAAAAGCTGGAAAAGCAGCCTCAACTTCCTCAAGCTGTTCTGCAGCGAAGAACAGCCGCCTTGGAGCAGTCCGACAAGGAGCAGGCGCACCAGCAGGTTGCCAGCTGTGTCTTCTCCCTTAGGTTCCGCCCCTCAGCCACGGCCCCCTTCCGGTCTCCGCGGCCTGGCCCCGCCCCGCGCAGGCGCTTGGGCGCTTTTCCCGTGGCGCTCCGCGGCGCGGGCGATTTGGAAGAATGGCGGGCAGTTGGTCGCCGGGTTGCAAAGGTTGCTCTTCTACTAGCTGTACGTGTGGCGGCGACAAGGGCAAGTGGGGCGACTCCTCCCTGTTAGGCAGGCGGCTCTCGGAGGACTCGGACCGTCACCAGCTGCTGCAGAAGTGGGCCAGCATTTGGACCTCCTTGAGCGGGGACCCGTCGGTGGCCTGTGCAGAGAGGACGCGGCGCGAGGAGGCTGTGGAGCCGGCCGAGGAGGAGGACAGGCCGCTGGTGTTTCTGTGCTCCGGCTGCCGGCGACCGCTGGGCGACTCCTTGAGCTGGGTGACGAGCCAGGAGGACACCAACTGCATCTTGTTGCGCTGTCAGTTGCCGCGCCGGGCGGGGGGGAGGGGGTTGGGCAGTGGGGTGGCGGGGGGGAAGCTTGGGGCCACCTTCTTTCCTAGCGTGCCGCTCCTGGACGGTCCGGGAGGAGAAGGAGAGAGGGGTGTTTTGGGGCCGTCTAGGGTTTTTAAAAGCAGAAAAATCTGGGAAGGTGAGCTGTCCCAGGAAAAGGGGAGAAGGAGGGTCACCCCTGCGTCTTGGGCTCATGAGACCGGTCCTTTTCTGGGGTCCCCCAGCCCAGAAGAGCAGCGATTGAACCAGCATCTTATGGTTTTACATTGCTCAGTAAAAAATGACCAACTAAATGAGGATAATACATACACGCGGTAGTTAGGAGGATTAAATGAGTTAATGTGTATCATGAGCTCAAAATGGCTAGTAAGGGCCACTTGAAGTGATTTTTGTAACGGAGATACCGTTAATCCTCCCAATCTGTCATTGTTGATCCTGGATTGCTTCCAGAGTTGCCTCCGTTAGAACAGCATGTACTTGGGTTGAGATTTTTGATACAGTAGGAGAATCCTTTTTTTTTTTTTTAGTAGGCAAGACATAATATGTATGGTGTTAAATCTTTCATTTTGCTTGTAGTTTCTGTTTTTACAGAAAGTAGAACTATCTTTTTCCACATGCTTTTTTGTTGTGTTTTATGTATAAAACCCCTTCTGTTACTTTTGCTATAACAGTTTTTAAATTTTAAAAACTGTCAGCTTTAGACAGTTCAATTTACCCCACCCCCCACCCTGTGCCTTTCCCCATTGCTGCCATGAAAGATAAAGAAATGAACTCTTGGATTAATTTCCATTTCCTTCCGCCTCAGTTTGAGTTAGTTATTTTTACTTTGTCAAGGTTTATAACATCTATGTTCTGTTCTGTAGCCATAGCCTGGGCATTGAAGCTTAATGTAATGTTTGTATGAATTTGTTTCTCAACTCCAGGACTCTTATTAATACAAGAAAGCTTAATAGCTTTCTCATTTCTGAGTTGTTTATTTCATTAATCATCATCAGTAGTCCCTTCCCACCCCACACCAATCCCCAAGAAAACTTCAAATTTGAGTGGTTGAAAATGCCTTTCTGTTCTCTTTCACATAAACGTCCTCTTGACTGCATGTACAATTCTGGGATCATGCTCTTTGCTTTTTCTAGGCAGGGACCAGCTAGTGCAAAGGCCCTGAGGCTGGTGTGACTGAAGAGCAGAATGAAGAAGGCGGCAATAAAAGAGAGGAAGGAAGGGGTCAGAAAATTCAGGGCCTTCGAGGCTGTTCTTCAGAATTGGAATCTATTCTAGTGAGTGAATAGAATAGAATTCTATTCTAGTGAGTATTAGAATATTCTAATCTATTCAGCAAGGGAGTGATATGGCCCAGATTTTTCTTTGGAGGAAGCTCTGAAGGGAAGGTTAAGTGTGGAAGTGGGAGGTCAGTAGGAGCTAGTGCAATAGTCTAGGCAAGAGGACGTAGTGATGGTTTGGGAGCAAGAGTGAGTTTCGTGAGGTGGAATTGCCAGGACTGATCGGTGGAGTGGATATGGGGGTTACGGAGGATGAGATGAATCAAGGGTGACACCTTGCGTTCTGATATGAGCAACTTGGTGGATGGAGGTGGAATTTACCCCGTTCAGGTAGACCGTAGGAGGTGAAACCAATTGCTTTGGACATTTTAAGTGTGAGGTCTTTTTCATTTCCCTCTGTCCCCCATCCCTTCCTTAGTGTATCCTGGACCTAGATCCTCTGGGAATGTTTCCTGCTTCTGGGGTCAGCTGTGACACCATCCAAGTCATGGCCTAAATAAAAGATTTTTGTCCAAGTCTCTGAGAGCTCTGCATTTGTAACCTGGGGGTGTATGCATTGCCTTTTAACATCTTTCTTGGTTTTATTTTATTCATTTTTAGACTAATTTAAAAAAATGTTTCTTTATTTTGAGAGAGAGTGCATGCACACGTGCTATCAGGGGCAGAAAGAAAGGGAGAGAGAATCAGTGCTGACAGTGCAGAGCCAATGTGGGGTGTGTGTGTGGCGGGGGGGGGTGGGGTGGGGAGGCTTGATCCCACGAACCCCGAAATCATGACCTGAGGTGAAATTAAGAGTTGAACCTTAACTGACTGAGCCACCCAGGCGCCCCATCTTTCTTGGGTTTAATCCCAATTTTACTGTACCTTGCAGGTATTCTTGGTAATCTGTGACTGAGGTTCTAGGTGTTCCAGTCTTTACTGGTGATTGAATTTTCCCCTCTAGTTTTACTTGTTAATGTCAGTGGTTTTCATGGATGAGAAAGAACTCTCATTCTGCCACCTTTTTTCCAGGAGATGTACAGAGGTACATTTTGTTTTGAGCCACCCTTGTATGCCTGTGGGACTTTGGGCTCTTATCTTTCCTGGTTCTCTGAGTTCTAAAAGGAAAATTGAATTAGAAGTTCTCCAGGGGCACCTGGGTGGCTCAGTGGGTTAAGTGTCCGACGTCGGCTCAGGTCATAATCTCACGGTTGGTAAGTTCAAGCCCCACGTTGGGCTCTGTGCTGACAGATAGAGCCTGGAGCCTGCTTTGGATTCTGTGTCTCCCTCTCTTTCTGCCCTTCCCCCATTCACGCTCTGTGTCTCTCAAAAATGAATAAATGTTTAAAAAAAAAAAAAGTTCTCTAAATACCTGCATGTGTCATATAGCAAACCACATTAATAAATTATTGTTACTTTGCTCTAGGTGTTTCCTGTAATGTTTCTGTGGATAAGGAACAGATACTGTCCAAACGTAAAAATGAAAATGGTTGGTGAGTAAGGCTATTATTATCTATTGGAATATGTGTATTTGAGAAAATGTTTATTTTTCAGCTAAAAATCTTTAAAAAGATCATTACCAGTAAGATTAGTTGGGATAAAAATTTCTTTCTGGTGGTCAGTATAGAATCAGCCCATTTAATGTATTAACTCTTGAGCATTGGTGATCTTTTTAGATATTGCAATGGAAGAGTTTCTAAATTTCTTTTTTTAATTTTTTTTTTAACGTTTATTCATTACTGAGAGATAGAAACTGAGCATGAACAGGGGAGGGGCAGAGAGAGAGGGAGACACAGAATCCGAAGCAGGCTCCAGGCTGTGAGTCATCAGCACAGAGCCCGACACAGGGCTCGAACTCATGGACCATGAGATCATGACCTGAGCTGAAGTCGGATGCCCAACCTGCTGAGCCACCCAGGCGCCCCAAAAGAGTTTCTAAATTTCTAAAGTCACATTCTGACACTCTCTTGGGTGTTTGGGCTTAGTGCTAAAACAAGTTGAAAATTTAAAAAAAAAAAGTCTATATCATAAAATCTTAGCCAAAGGATGCCTTAGACCAACGCTACCTACGTTTTTTTAATGTCATGCTACCCATAGAGAATGCTAGTCTCACACTTACACACATGTACATGTCGCCTGTTGAGGTAAACAGACAAGGCTGCATGAGGCTGCAGGCAGCCAGCACGGGGGCTCCAGCAAGCCCCAGGCCCCGTGCTCCTGCTCCCAGGGCTGAAGGCGTCACTCTCTTGGCATCCCTGTCATCCACTGTGCTACAAGTGGCATCTTCAGTAAACTGAATGGGAGGCTCTGCCTGTATAATTGTTGCCCAGGGTGTGCTTTACCGATATATATGAAGTAACTGTAGGCGGTACACAAACAGCTCAACAAAAATTAATAATCATGTATGTTTTTTCACGTGTACTTAAAACTTCTGGTTTTTCCTTTTAAAGTAATGCTAGCTAGAGTGTCCAATTCAAATAAAGTGCATTTCAATTAGGAGATTACTCTTTTTAAGGAGAATTACATTAATGGTAGTACAGGTAGTACGTGTAGGTGGCAGAAATGGTGCTGCTGGCAACGCAGGTGACCTCAGTTTGGAAAAGCCAGACTTAGCTTGTTTTTCAGTTTGTAGATGAAGAACGGAAGGCCTGGGGAGATAGGCCACAGGACGGTGCAGTGGTTAGAGCTAGCACAGTGCTGTGCCTCCCCTCCCTTCTTGCAAAGTGTTCTTTCTTCTTTCCTTGCCGCGTTTACTTTTTTTTGTTTTTAAGATATTCATTTATTTTGAGAGAGAGTGTGCGTGCACGCGTGTTCAAGCACGTGTTGGGGAGGGGCCAGGAGAGGGAGAGAATCCCAAGCAGTCTCCACATGCAATGTGCAGAGCCCCACATGGGCTCGAACCCATGAGCCGTGAGATCACGACCTGAGCTGAGATCAAGAGTCGGAGGCTTAACTGACTAACTGACTGAGCCATCCAGCTGACCCCAATTTTACTTATTTGGATGCCACTTTCACCAATTTTGCCATATTCATTTACCAGCTATCATGTACTTACTATCTTTCCTTACATTGACTCAGGATTTTATTTAAATTTATTTAAAAAGGAATCTAATGTATTACTGCCATACATATATCATTTGCCATTGATTAGATGTTTACTACAATGAAAACAGATGTTATTAAACTCTAGCAGGGATGCTGTCACCTCACTTGTTCTGAGCCCAAAGTCTGTTCTCTCACTGTAGAAAGATTTGCACCTATGAGATTCGTGTTCGAGACTTCCTAGCACCAGACTGAGACTTTCTTCTTCTTATAATTGGGATTGATAGAGAACTAAAGGGGAATTGACTCATCCTCTGTCAGCCAGTGTTATTTAGTCCTGTTTACTTGTATCACCTGAACCCATCATTCATGCCACATTACACTGTCCTAAATTTCATCAGGGTCCCATATTCCACACTTGGGGAAATATCGTATCGCTTTAGAATGCTCGTATGTTTTTGATAGGCCTGTCCTACTGAATAGCTGCTTGCGTCATTCTGCAGCTGGTCAACAAGAACACTTGTGGGTTTTAGAAATGTGTCGTTAAGGTAGGAGTGTTTCCTGGGTCCGTTCTGTCGCTTGTTAAGTTTCTTATGTGCTAACTCATTTCTTGTCGAAAATCACCCTGTGATTTCTGGTACTGCTTTCTCAATATTGTTGTCCAAATTTAAGGGTAGGTTCTGGCCAAATCCTTGCCAGCTGTGAAAACAAAGACACTACAAAACTGGGGCGCTTGGGTGGCTCCGTCAGATCGGCGGCCGACTTCAGCTCAGGTCATGATCTCGCAGTCTGTGAGTTTGAGCCCTGCATCGGGCTCTGTGCTGACAGCTCAGAACCTGGAGCCCGCTTTGGATTCTGTGTCTCCCTCTCTCTCTGCCCCTTCCCTGCTTGCTCTCTGTCTCTCTCTCTCTCAAAAATAATAAACATTAAAAAAAAAATGAAAAAGAAAAACCCTACAATAATTGTAGCTACTACCTCTTCATTGCTTCTCAAGATCACTGTGGAAGTGAATGGGTTTGCATGTATTCTTCAGTGGTGTTTACTTTGATTTTGATAATTTGGGATAAAACAATGTTACCCACTGATCAGTGTGTTTTGTATTTTACCTTTATTTAAGTATCCTTTTTTGGCTGATTACACCTGCATCATATGTTAGTTCACAGTCTTGGTAATTGTGTATGGCAGCCTCGTAAAGATTATGAGGTTCGATATGTAGTGTGGACATTTTCCTCTTCACCGTTGGTAGCATAGGTAGGGTTCCTTCCTGGGCTTTATGGAGAAATATAAAATGAATAGAAATGTAAAATATTAAAATATCCAAAAAACATAAAATATATTTAAAAATATAAAGTAAAAAATATAAAAGCCTATAGAACCTTAATATATGATCAATGGCATATTATGTAGCTAGTTATATTACCAGTGAGAACTTATAATTTACTGGGCAGTGATTCATTTTGTTCTTGGCTCCCTATGGAGCTGCAGTAGTTAAAAAAGTCTCTCCGTATCTATAGGTAAACAATAATGCAGTCTAATAGATTGTTTGAGTCTTGGTTGGCTCCATTTTTTTGATGACAGGAATAGCTAGTTATTAGAAGGCATGATATAATCCTTTTGAAATAATAGCTATCTTTTGTGATGTATATTATATTATCATCACGAAATTTAAATCTTCAGTTATCAATTTGCTATGCGACAGGACTGTAATTTTCGTATAGATATTTATAGCATGGCAAATTTGGGTAGGTCAATCTGATGAGGCATTTGGGTGACTGGATTCTAAGATATTTTTTTAAGTTTACTTATTTTGAGGGAGAGCTAGTGAGCAGGGGAGGGGCAGAGAGAGAGAGAGAATCTCAAGCAGTCCCTGCACTGACAGCATGGAGCCTGACACGGGGCTTGAATCCGTGAACCATGAGATCATGACCTGAGCCAAAATCAAGAGCCGGACGCTTAACTGACTGAGCCACCCAAGTGCCCCTGGATTCTAAGATTTAAAGAAGACATGAATCGACATTGGTGGGGCAAATTATATTCAAATATGCAGATCCTGAGTTGGGAAATAACTAGAATGAAGGAGCAATTAATTATGTGGAGAACCTGGATCATTAAGTAGAATATTTGTGAGTTGCCTATGTGGAGCATGTCTGGAGTGAGTAGAAGAGAGTTAGGTCGAAGTCTAATTAAAAAAGAGAAAGCTTCTGTAACAGATGCACGATGAGCACATGTCCAAGATTTATTTCACTCATTTCCTGAGGGAATCGGAACATGGCAAAGCTGGTTTAGAGAAGGACACTTTCTGGAGAACAAATCTAGTTCGTGTCCCCCAGGACAATAAAGCCTCCGCCTTTGAGGTTATCTTTTGTACTAGCAGAGAACATTTGCCTCTCCAGCAGACTAAAATCATTTGTGGTGTTACAGATTGTTAATCTTACTAATCTGCTTTCTGTAAATCCTCATCGAACTTCAGAGTCTGGGCCCTGATCCGTAGTAAGTAGTAAGCGCCCAATGTTACTTTAATGTTACCTTTCAAGTAGAGCGAAGTGTGGCCCGTGGGTCAGGCACTTCTTTTTGTAAATATATTTTTATTGGAACATAGTGCCTATCTGGTTATGTATTGTCCGTGGCTGCTTCTGTGCTACATTAGTAGGGGTGAGTCATTGCAACAGACACCATGTGGCCTACAAACCTAAAATATTTGTTCCCTGGATCATTACAGAAAAAATGTGTCCACCCCTGTCCCAGAGCGTTAATGATTCTCAGTGGGCTTGGTGGACAATATGAGATTAAAAGAGCCTGTGGAATCCTTTCCTTCTTTTCAAGTTTTAGATCATTCTTCTTAATACCAGATTGAGGCATTTACATTCTAGAAAAACTCCACATCAATATCCTCTCGTCACTTTTCTATGTGTCCCCCGTCACTAGGCGCTTAAGTCATTGCGGCCTGGAAGCAACTGTCCACACTTCTAATATATGTTACTACCATTTCTTTCCTCCCTTATTCATATGACTTAGTAAGGTTGAAATAACATATTTTAGCCACTTAGATGTTAAATGTTTCTGGATTTTAACAGTGGGATCTTTGTTATAACGAGTTGTACCCTGTTTGCTGAAGCACCGGCCTTTCGCTGTTGCAGTGTTCTGGAGACGTTGTACTGCTCTGGGTGCTCGCTCAACCTCGGTCACATCTACAGATGCACACCCAAGAGCCTAGATTACAAGAGAGACTTGTTTTGCCTCAGGGTTGAAGCCATTGAAAGGTAAGTTTGATAAATAAATGGTTATCTCCTGATTCCTCAGTTTTCTGCAGAAAAATTAGTATAAAAATAGCAGAACGAAATCAACGCTATTTGGTTAAAATACATTTTCAAGTAATAATTTCTGACAAAAAGCCAATGATTTTTTTTGTTTTGACCTGATATATTTGGCATGGGAAAATCAGACATACTAAATTATAAGGAGAAAGCACTGCGAGAACATTTTTCAGAGTAAAAATATGTTCAGTTTTGGGGCGCCTGGGTGGCGCAGTCGGTTAAGCGTCCGACTTCAGCCAGGTCACGATCTTGTGGTCCGTGAGTTCGAGCCCGGCGTCGGGCTCTGGGCTGATGGCCCAGAGCCTGGAGCCTGTTTCCAATTCTGTGTCTCCCTCTCTCTCTGCCCCTCCCTCGTTCATGCTCTGTCTCTCTCTGTCCCAAAAATAAATAAACGTTGAAAAAAAAATTAAAAAAAAAAAAAATATGTTCAGTTTTTCCTAAAAAGGTTTTTAAGCGATATGTGTTGTCCATTTTATTTTCTCCCCCATTTTTTAGCCTAGAATATCATGAAGAATTAGGAATTTCAAAACTAGTTGGGTAAGAAGTACCTTTGGTGTTCTGGAAAAACAAATACAAAGTCTAACCATTTTCTTGAGTCTAGTGAAGAATCGCCTGCTTTCTCTGAGGATGCAAGGAAGTGCCTTCATTCTTCATGATTTCTAAAAAGTAAACATTTGGAAACAAGGCAAATGGGAGGCTGATGACAGACGTCAATTAAAGAATTTCAGAGATCTTAATGGCCTTCTAATTAGCCTTTTTTTTTTTTTAATGTTCTTATTTATTTTTGAGACAGAGACAGAGCATGAGCAGGGGAGGGGCAGAGAGAGAGGGAGACACAGAATCTGAAGCAGGCTCCAGGCTCTGAGCTGTCAGCACAGAGCCCGACGTGGGGCTCGAACTCATGGACTGTGAGATCATGACCTGAGCCGAAGTCAGATGCTCAACCAACTGAGCCACCCAGGCACCCCATAATTAGCCTTTTTTACTAGGAAACACAAAATTAAATAACTCATTTGACTCCTGCGTATTTTCACTTATCCTAGAAAAGATGTAATCCTCAAGACTTTAAAGATGCCTAAAAATCTTATATATCAGGAAAGAAGAAAACTTTAAGAAGAAATTAAAGAGCTTATACTTTCATTACTTGAGGTATTTTGTCACTCGTGCTGAATTCCTCAGCTTTTCTCTTCAAAAGATTTAAAACAGTATTCTTTTTATCAGAATTGTGATTTCTCATCAAATTATTCTTTGATAACTTTAGTCTGCCACCTTGTTTGAAACTAGACAGGTTCAGACCAGAATTTTAAACTCTGCAAACTTCTTCCAGCCCTCACACAAAAGAAGGATGAATAGGTACTGTTCACTGTTGTGTGGATGGAGCCCTGTCTGGAGAGATAGCAGATCTGTTTTGGTTTTAAGATAGGAATAGAAGACCCAGGCCCAAACAGATGCTCCTTTAATCTCCATGAGAATTTTACTAAGATCTGTGAAAATTAAGTGAGGGAGAGGACAAGTGTGAAAGGATGAAATCTCAGCTTGGTCGGCTTGGTACAAAACTTTCAAAAGTGGTACATATCTGTATAAAAGGAAACGTGGAAAACTTTGCCACAGGAGATTATAGTATTGAAGTTGTTTTTTCCTCTTAGGGTGGAATTGTAATGCCAAGGAAACTGCTTGGTTTTAGAAGTGTTTATTTACAGGGTTTTTTTTTTGTTTTTTTGTTTTTTGTTTTTTTTTAAAGATTTTATTTTTGGGGCGCCTGGGTGGCTCAGTCGGTTGGGCATCTGACTTTAGCTCAGGTCATGATCTTGTACTCCTTGAGTTTGAGCCCCACATCGGGCCCTGTGCTGACAGCTCAGAGCCTGGAGCCTGCTTCGGATTCTGTGTTTCCCTCTCTCTCTGCCCCTCCCCTGCTCATGGTCTGTCTCTCTCACTCTCAAAAATGAATAAATGTTAAAAAAAAAAAAAAATTAAAAAAAAAAAGATTTTATTTTTAACTGATCTCTACACCCAGTGCAGGACTTGAACTCATGACCCTGAGATCGAGAGTCACACGCTCCACCCGCTGAGCCAGCCAGGAGCCCCTATTTACAGTTTTGTAAATTACTTAGTGCCACTTCATCTCCCACCTCCTCTCATTTTTTTGCCTTCTGCAATTTTGTCTCCCATGCCATTTTTCAGAAATACAATCAATGAGGTTTCCACAAGAAGATAGTTCTTATTTGACAAAAGAAGTGACATACTGGAGTTACTACATGTGATAAAAGACTTCAAAAGAAATGTAAATTAATCAAGTTTTCTTTGGAGAAATACTGGCACCTTCTTGTTTGCTGTTTTGATCTCTTGGGTTACCAACACTGGGCCTGTTTTCCTTGTTTCCAGGCCAGTTTTTCTCTTCCTGCGTATTGTCTGCACCACAGCATCCCCTAACCTCAGAGAGCCGGGCACAACAACTTGGACGATTACTGTTGAAGTTGCCACATTGGGGTGACCAGAACTGACTCCATAGATTATTTACTACAAGTCCAATTTGAAATTATACATGTTCCCTGAAGTTATAGAAAGCAAAAAAGCAGTGGCTTCCTCAGGATCTTTTCAAATTTTTTAATCATAGAATTTTGAACTATGACTGTTAATGTTTTGGCACCCAGCTAACTAAAGAGCAAGTTCGTTCCAGTAATGAAATACTTAGAGTATTGGAAAATATGTAGGAATATCAGGACAAAGCTGTTACGGAGAAAAATACGATTTTCTGTAATACAACTTCCTACATAGGTTGCTGGTAACAAAAATAGTTATTTTGTGTTTACTTGGTACAAACAGATAGTGTAATATACTTAGAGTTTTAATATTAACTAAAATGAATTTAATATTTGCGTCCTTTTCCTATTTTAACCTCGTACTGCACTGTACTTCAGTTATATTTTAGGGTCCTCGGAAAAGCAAATCGTGTCAGAAGATAAAGAACTTTTTAATCTTGAAAGCAGAGTTGAAATAGAAAAGTCTCTAAAGCAGGTAATTTTGTTCTGTACTTCGTATATCTTTGTATGAACCACTTCCCTGTTAGTGAACAAGGGCTCTACAAATACTCCTCACAAAGGCATCTGTTTTGATCTTAGTACTTTCATGGTAAGAGAGTGCTTATTTTATTTCAGTTGTTAGTAAAATTGATTTTGGGGGCGAGCCAAACTACAATTTAAGCTAAAGCTTTATAAAAAAAAAATAAGTCATTTCATGCTTCAGTCAAAGCAGTGTATAATCTAAAACTAGTAAACTGTATTTCATTTGATTCAGTTCTCATGGTATAAATGACCCGATTTTTAAAAGCTCTTTATTTATTTATTATTTGAGAGAGACAGTGCGAGAGTGAGCATGAGTGGGGAGGGGGGACAGAGGGAGAGAGAGAGAAAATCCCAATGGGACTTGATCCCACGAACCTTGAGATCATGACTTGATCTGAAATGAAGAGTCAGACCTCAACCAACTGAGCCACTCAGGCGCCCCAACAACCTAATTTTTGAACGTTAACATCTTTTCATGGCCAGATAGGCAACATTCTGATGTGTGTATAAGAGAACTCCAGGTTAGAGACTGAGAACTACTGTTAATATAATGATGCCTTATTTATATAAAATTTAGTTTATGCCTCTAAATAATTTCATTAAACACTGAATATGTGTAATGCATATCATAGTCATACATTTTATTAATGATACATATTTTAATCACTTAATGGTGCGATTTTAATCGTGATCATGTGTGTATCTTATTTTTTCAATTCGATAGATGGAAGATGTTTTGAAAGCATTACAAGCGAAGCTGTGGGAGGTTGAATCAAAGTTGTCCTTTACCAGCTGCAAAAGCTGAAATGTCTTCCACGTGCCCCATTCTGGACTCCCTGCAGGTAGATGATTTCTTTTGTAGCAATTCTAGTCATTTGATTTCGGTCGGAATGGAAAGAATTCTCAATGGCCGTATGAATACAGCGCACCCTCTTGTATTGATCAGATGACAAGAATTGTAGCATTACTTTTAGGATACATTCTTTCCCAAAGTCAAAATTTAAAGCCGTTTTATGATACTTGCTGAAATTGGAATTTTGGAGTTTTTATTTTGATAAACTGCTATGATTTTCTGTACTGTTTTCTCCTTTGTATCAAATTCATTGTTCATTTCCTTAAGAAAAACATATTCACCTTGAATACTTTGGGAAATATTTGATATTGAAGGACAAGAAAATCTTGGAGGTTTTCCACCCACTGTGTGAGTGAATCTTTGAAGACCAATGCATAAAGCTCTGAAGAAACTGGTCGTTGAGTTATTTCTCAGAACTGTTTGAAAACTTGCACAAGAGCAGACGAGCGTATGTTCCAGTGGTAGCAGAATTCCACTTGATCTGTTTGTTTACTACCATACGCCCCCAAAAATCTGGAATAATGTTCACCAAAGAGATTAGTAGTCATCTCTGAGGGTGGGATTCTAGGGGATTCTCAGTTTTCTATAATGTGGGACTTAGAGTAAACATGGGTTATTTTTAAAATCAGAGAGAGAATAAAGATGAAAACAAAGCATTTTAAAGTTGATTTTTACGAAACTGAGTTGTGGTATTTAACTGAACTCAGAAGTCCTGACGCCATGAGTTGTACATGTTTACCGGACCGGTTGCACTGGGGAAGGCTGCTCAGGAATATAAGGGTAACCCCAGATTTCTCCAGGCCCCTTTCTGTTTTTGGGTGCAGATGAGGCCGCATGACATTAGTACTCAGAACGCAGGAGTAATTCAACTCGGTTTCTGCTCAGAAGTTCCCTAATTCTTTCCCAGAATACTTAAGGTACCCTAACCAAAGGTCCTAAGTCAGATCAACTGAAGCATTTAAAGCTATTGAGTAATTTTTGACCAGTTGGCAATAGCCTCTAATAACTAGAAATCCGTGAGCCCTCTAGGGTAGAATGCGGGGGAGAGAAAGCACACACCCGTACCCGCTGGCCACGAGAGAGTCCTCTTGCCTCCGTGAGCTTGATGCAGTCCCGAGTGTCTGTCGCCTTAGGTGCTTCAGGGGCACATTCAGAAGAGAGGGGAGAGGATGTCAGCAGCAGGATTCAGCCGACTTTCTGGTTGCGCAGGTAACAGCACGCCAACAGTCTCTTTGGGGGCTATCCCCAAGACAGGTGGTTTGGCTCCCTAATTCCGTAATACCCTGCTCATACCGGGACATGCCAATCCATGCGCCTTGAAAAGTGCTCATTTCACCGAGGAAAACTCATCTCCAGTCGCCACAGTGCTGACGCCTCCCTGTTGTGGGTCAGGAGAGAAGCATGGCTCCCGTGCCCTAGGCTGCCTCTAGGGCGGGCCTTTGGTCAGCCGTCCCCGGAGCTGTATGTCCAGGGAGGGTCCTTCACATGAAGTTAGCTCACCGGTCCTGGGTGCAGATGGAAAGCTCACACACATTTTGTCACGTGGTCTTCACTGAAGCATCTGACCGGAAATGCCAGGAAACCGTCGTGTTCTTCATCTTTGGCCTCTGCCTGTGATGTCACTGAAGGGGTGTCCTTGCCACTGCCGTGGGACAGCGATGCCGAGGTTCCCAAACTGCTCATCCCGAGGGGTCCAAGTGGGACTGCTTTGTGTCCCCTGCACGCTGCCCTGTGACACTTGCAGAAGGAGGGGGTCTGCCCGACTCCGGGACAGCCTCTCCTTGGGCCACGTGTCTCCCCAAAGCCTGGTAAGCCTGGCTTTTCCGGCTTCCCGTGAGGTCTCGTCAGAATGCTGCTTTGTAAACTTCACCCTGTCTTTCCACCCTAAAACCTACAAGATGTGAGGCAATGGGGCCTTGTTTCTATTCCGTGCAACTGAAAAACACAACGTGCCATTGTTTCTGGTTACCAAGCTCTGGTAAGTGGCTGCTTGTGAGCAGGAACGAGGGCGCCGAAGCAAGAAATGGTCGTTCCCCCCAAATTGCATAAGACCCGGCAAGGAGATCTTCAGGCAGATCTGCCCTGAAATTGTTCTTCCAGCCATCCCCATAAAGGGTGTGCCCCAGTGCTTCAGGGAGAAGTTACGGAAACCGGCACCAGAACCCATTATGTGGCCTTTACAGACTCCTAACTATGTCTGTGTAGAAAGTTATATAGAATTTCATCCCAGAATGTGGGTTCTGTCCTCAGCAAATTCTCCCATCGTGTTTATAAATTTCCAAGCTCAAGAGCCCCCTGAGGTCATTGTTCTGTGCAGCATCGATGCCTGGATGGATGATTCTAGTCAAGCTCTGGACATTTAAATTGGGCAAAATCGGGGAGAATTCATCCTTGAAGAATGGGGTCTAGGCATTTAGCGGGAACTTCTTGAACGAAGAAGCCGTGAGTGAAGGTTTCCTCAGCTTATTTTTGAGAGAAGATCTCACGGGTAGCAGAAATTCCAGGTCATGGTCCCAGTTTAACTGCTTTATGAGCCGTGTGACCCTGAGCAAATTATTTAATCATTTTGAGCCTCTGTTTTCTCATCTGTAAAATGAGGACATAATAGCCTTTCCTTGAATCACAGATCATCAAATTAGATAATGCTTAAGAGCGAGTACTCTGAAAACAGTAAAGCATCACAAAAATAAACAACGATTTAACTTTGTTTAAAATGGGTTGATCTGATTCACTCTTCTAGCTGGTATACCCATGGGAGTCTATGGATGGAAAGGGAAACCTCTGAAACACTGTAATACAGATATAAATATTACCGTTTATTGAATTTCTTTCTCCAGTTACAAACATATGAACATTGTAGAAGATTCAAAAAATAGAAGCATGACACAAAGAAAATAAAACCTACACGTCCTCTCACAAGTAAAAGACAATTATTATTCACTTTTTGGGGTATATCTTTGTAGTCATTTTTATATGCTAATTTAGAATCCTACTGAACATACTGTTTTCACATAAACTACTTCATTGCTGTGTTTCTGCAATTATTAAATATCTTCTATAACCTGATTTCTTGTGACTGTATTTTTAACGAAACACTGATTTTAGAGCCCGCTTAAGTGTAATCATACGGGATGATATTCCTCACATCTTTTCATTTAATAAATGGAAACACTGTATCTTAAGACTTCAGTGATTACAGCCACACTCACTCTTCACCTCTTCTGGAGAAAAAGTGAAAATGCCTGAAAGCTGATGACTTAAAATTTTGTATCGATAGTCAGTGCTGTAGATCTTTTCTGTTCTTCCTGATTAACATAAATAAGCGGGGAGCCGCGTGCCTGTGGAGAAACAGAAAGCTCGTTTGCAGTTACTGCGAACTGAGGGAAGATCATGATCTAACCCAGACTCGTTTTGGGGACTGGTCATTAATTTTGTTTAGTAAGAGCTGAGTTCCATCTGTCGGGAGGGGGTTTTATCCAGGCAGGTGATCACGGTGGCCCGCCGTCAGGGTCCATCCGTGTAATTGTAGTCTCTTCAGAATGTTTACACTTGCCTAAATTCTTTTTTTTTTATTTTTAAAAAAAATTTTTTTTTTCAACGTTTATTTATTTTTGGGACAGAGAGAGACAGAGCATGAATGGGGGAGGGGCAGAGAGGGAGGGAGACACAGAATCGGAAACAGGCTCCAGGCTCTGAGCCATCAGCCCAGAGCCCGACGCGGGGCTCGAACTCACGAACCGTGAGATCGTGACCTGGCTGAAGTCGGACGCTTAACCGACTGCGCCACCCAGGCACCCCTACACTTGCCTAAATTCTTGTGATGATAACTGGAAGGCAGCGTGAAGTGAGGGGGTCAGAGGAGTGATAGGCTGGACAGGAGTCTTACTGGCCCAAATGTGATTTGAACTAGAATCAGCCTCCTTTCGTTCCAGTCCGCTCCTATTGACTTTTGCTAGCCTGACAACATTAAGCCTAACTTTCCCCCCCGCCCCCCAAACAGTTGCCACGTGGCTTTAGATATCCTCCATCTAATTGTAGGCAGAGAGATGGACAAGGTCCCCCCCGCCCCCAGGGTCCTTTCAACCTTCTAGCCCATTTGAGCTGAAGAAGGAGATGAGAAATAATTCAAAGAGAAACGAGAATCCACGAACCGACTTTGCAGACTTGAATTCTCTTCCCCACACATGCTGTCACCTCCGTGTACCTCCCCCTGACCACCGTACCGTCATCCGGAGCTGCGGGTTTAGGATTCTGGAGGCTTCCTGAGAATAGCAAATTACGAATAAGCAGGGTGTGTGTTTGATGGAATACCATTTTCCAAACCGAATATGAGAGTAGGTAACCATTTTGAAGAGAAAGGTTCTGGAGCCTTCAAAGGATTTTCCCTAGGGGACAGACAGACGGCTGCTTTTTACTCCTAGCTGCTTCCCGGGGATGACTTCTGCTCTTAGGTAGCGTTTAACGATCATTTCCTACGTACCCAGCACTGTGCTTGGAGCTGGGGGCTCACCCCAGTCTTCACAAAACCCCCTTTCACGGGAATCCTTACTCCCATTTTGTAGATGCAGAAACAGATTCAGAGAAGTTAAAGAACGGCCTGACTCCCCAGGGCTCTACCTCACTTCTGCCTCCTCCATCTATTCTGAGCTGCAGTTGGGACGCCCCCTTGGTTCTTAGCAATCAAATATGTTAAGGGAAGGTGAGTCACCGCCGTGTTAGCAGCTTTGGTATCTAGAAGGGTTTAGAACCCTTTTCTGTAAAATGAAGCTGACTGGGGCTCTTTGGTGCGAGTTCCCTCCACCTCCTTTGTTTCTCCCTTGAGGCTCCCCGGCCCGGCCGCTTGCAAGCCCTGCCCTCTTCCCGTGTTTCGGATCTCCCCTGCACCCCCTCCTTCCTGTCCTTTGTTTTACATTAGTCACAGATTACACTTGTTTGTTAGCTTATTGTCTTTCTGTTGGAGG